CCCTCCCTCCCTCCCTCCCTTCCAGTCAGTGTTGACTCCTGGCGACTGCCTGAACAAGTCCCTGCAGTTTTCTTGGCAAGGTTTTTCAGAAGTGGTGTGCCCTGGCCTTCTTTGTCCCAGGGCTGAGAAAGAAGGACTGGCCCAAGGTCCCCCAGCTGCCTTTGGGCCCAAGGACTAGAACTCACAGCCTTCTGGTTTCTAGCCTGGTGCCTTTAACCACTACACTGAACTGGCTCTCCAATGATTATAGGTAGGATAATTTCTCAGGCTGACAGTGAAGCTAGTACCTATTCTGTAAACAATATCCAAGTGCTGAGACCAGCTTCCTTCCCCCTTCATGCAAAGAGTGCAGTAAGCAAGCGAGAAGCCAGCAGTTTTGAATTGCCTCTATATAAGGCTCATGTTTGAAAGCAAATGTACTTGTTGGAATTCTTGTGCTACCGCCGTTTTTCTTAACGTATCTTTTAAATTGGAACTCAAAAAGACATTCCTTGAATGTTCGCTTCCAGCCCTGATTACTGTAGAGAGTTCTGACAGTTATCAAATTACAATAATAATTCCCCCTCCAATGCAATGAATGCAATTTTTGCACAGTAATGCAATTTTTGTACAGTAATCTGATGGGAGTTGATGGGAATTACATCTGAGTAGGATGTAATTCCCATCTGCAGGATGTAATGTAAGCTCCTGAGAATCGTTTGCTCATTTTCTTTTCTTGTGCACTCACCAGGGTCAGTGGAATTGCTGGGAGCCATGGCTTACTGTGCTCCCAAGCAGCTCTCTTCCTGCTTGCCAAACATTGTGCCGAAGCTTACGGAGGTGCTGACGGATTCTCACGTGAAGGTTCAGAAGGCTGGACAACAGGCGTTGCGGCAGATTGGCTCAGTGATCAGGAATCCTGAGATTTTGGGTAAGAGCTTATGGGTGCCTGTGTCGGTGCGGGTGAATGTTTTCCTTCTGGGAGCCTTGCTAACTTGGCCTAGCTTGGTTTACATTGAATGGATCAAAGTTCCGCAAAATTTTGTTCATTATGAACGATTGCTGATAAAACATTCCAGTCGTCCCTCTGTGACCCTGAATTGGAATTAGCTCCTTATGCTTTTTTTAGTATTATATGGATTTAATGGAGGGAAAATATGGGGCTAGAGCCCATTTGAGCATGGAATTTGGAGTTTGCAAATAAAATCTGTTCTGCTTCTGCATTCTTGAGACCCTGATGGATTTCCCTAGCTGAAGTGAAGACTTTCTTCTGCTGTTATTACTGCTTCTGCAGCAGCAGCAGTAGTTTCATGACTATTGGAAGGAAGTACACCTCCTAGTTGGTGGGATGTGGACAGCAGTATGGTGACTTACCAAGAAGTCTCTAGATTAGAGATCCTAGTTTGCACAGAATAGCATGAGCATGTTTGGGGTAAAACAAAGGTTTGGTTCCACCTTCGCCATCCTGACCAGTATGTGCTCAAACTGACTGGTGCTGTCTTTACTGTTACCAAGGAATATTGCATGTGGCATGGGTCCAACTAGGGCTTGTGACCTATCTAGTTGGAACCTTCTCTATCCTACTAAAAAGCATTCTTTGAAAGCCCTGATTGACTAAAGTTATGATAGGCAGAGGAGATTGCATGTCTGTGGGTCCATCTGGTGACAATCATGACATATGGAAGATTCTGGATTGGGATGTAGGATGAGTAAATAGTGTAAAGAATGTAAATTAACAGATGTAATGAAAGAAAAATAGGAACGTTGTCTATGGTTGTCCACGACCATAATAAAGATTGATTTGATTTAGGTACCTTGTCTTTCTGTCAGATTAAGAGAAAGGAGAAGGTTGTAGCAGATGGCAATTTGATCTGGGGGAGTGGAGTTGATGAATACAAGCAGGGAAGGGAAGGTGTAGGCTTAATTATGAAAGGAAAAATGTGTATGTCAGAAAGTATAAATTGCTGTCATCTAGTTATTGTGAGGTGTGTGTTAAAGTAGGAATCATAAGTTGATGATATCACATGTTATGTCCCAGTGAACAGTAATAATGGAGGAACCAGAGAAGAGGTCTAGGAACAATTGTACAACATTCTGAATAAATGTGGTCTGGAGAAGAATTATTCTGACATGAATGGGTGAGTGGGAATGAGAGGAGAAAGTACAGAAAAAGAGATTTGGCCATTCAAAACCCAAGAATGAATGAGAATAGTGATCTTTTTCTGCTTTGAAAAAGGGCTGTCTCTTCCAAATACATGGACACAAGGAGAAGGAATGAATATAGATCTAAAAGCTTGATTGATTATGATAAAAGATTGAGAGAAGTAAGGCTATAAGAAGTGTTAAATGTGGGATAGACCATTGTTTGATAGTGTTAGGAATAGTTCATGAAAAAAACAGACATGGAAGAAAAGGAAATAAATTAAATTTAAAAAATACAGTGAAAAATGGAATGATTGGGGAAATGAAAGGATGAATCCCGAATAAAAAAGTGTTAGAAGACAATCTTCCAACAGAATGAATGGAAAATAGATAAAAAGAAACAGGATATGGAAACTGCTTGGAACAGAGTGAGAATTATGTTACAGGGCACTGCAGAAATGTATGGAGTTACCCTAATGGGAAGAATGAAGCGAATGCTTGGAGGCTGTCTGTCTGTCTGTCTAATGTATATAGCCACCCATCTCATGCTTGTGACTCTGAATTATGATGAAATAATTGAGACTGTGGAGGAGAAGAAATGCATGTAAGGTAATGGTTGTTGAAAAAAAAATTGAGAAAATACATAATACATACAGACAGAAAAACAGTTGCTAAGAATGTAGTCAGTGTGAATGAGGAATGGTTTAAATTAAGAGTCAGAAAATGCCACGTGATTTTGATAGAAATAAACATTTTTTTGGAAGTGGGTGAAAAGGGCTAAACGAGGAGCCTCCAGCAGATTGAATGGAATTAAAAAATGAAAGTGATGAAATGATTTGGGATGAAAATGAAATGAGGGCATACCAAAGGGAGTATTTTACAAATTTGTATGGAAATAATACTGATATGTCAAAGTGTGGAATTGAAATGTTACTATTTAAAAATTTGATGGAAAGAAAATCATAAATCCTGTCAAAATGTTGACACATGATAAGACTGCAGTCATAGTCAGCGTAACTGGAGAAAAAGTAAAAGATGTATCTGGTTTGCTTATGGAATGACTATGTAGTTTTTTAAAGTGTATGTGAAGATTGCATCTGTGCCTAACTCTTGGAAGAAAGGTATATTGTTCCCCTGTACATAAAGGAAAATGTAGCAAGAGTGAATGCAAAAACGATGGGAGGATTAGGTTAGGTGTGCGTGCGAAGGAGTTGAGCAGAACTCTGATTGAAAGGATACAAGAAATGACAGTGAATAACAGCTGGGAAGTGAAATGTGGCTTTATGCTGTACCTCTCCTTGGGAGGGTAGTCTTACCAGTGGCTGTGAATACTGAGAGCATTAGTTCTGTATGTGGTGGGTGAAAGTAACTGGAAGACCAGCATTTGTAGGCCTGGCTGGCCAATGTCTTGGGATGTAGCACGGTGGATTCATACTCTTCTTATATGATTCTGATAGTATCTCACATGCCAGTTTTATGACACACTTTAAGCTTAGCTGGTATTCTCACAGTTGTGTCTGTTTGCTGTCTTCCTTTTCCCCGCCATTGAACAGCCATTGCACCTGTGCTGTTGGACGCGTTGACCGATCCATCCAGAAAGACTCAGAAGTGCCTGCAAACCTTGCTGGACACCAAATTTGTCCACTTCATTGATGCACCTTCCTTGGCCCTCATCATGCCGATTGTCCAGAGGGCTTTTCAGGATCGTTCCACAGACACCCGGAAAATGGCCGCCCAGATCATTGGGAATATGTATTCCCTGACGGATCAGAAGGTAGGCTGGTGAAGAGGGGAATTTGAAGTAAAGAGGACAAGTCTAACTAAATCACTGAAGGATTCCCGATGTATCTGTGTCTTAAAGTGAGAATCTGCCAAGTCCTTGCTGTTTATATTATAATCCTTGGTTCCAATTTTTTCTCAATTTTTAAAGAAAATTGGCTGTAAAAGAGAAGGGTTGGGGGGAATTGATCCTAGTACTGCCATGCTTCCATTGTCAGATTGAGTTGGTAGGAAATGGTGGTTTCTTTTGCTCAAGCATATGCTCCATTTGTGTGGAGTGGAAGCAAAGCCTGGCTAATATCCAGCGTGAGCTGAAGAGAGGCGCCCTTGACTGGGGGGCCAATGGGATAGAACCTCAGTAGTTGCCTACTAGATGCCTAAATTTAGTTCTCTGACTGCAAGAATTTGGCAAACCATGGATACAGATGATAGCCAGTTGTGCTTGGAAGAACGCCAGCTGGTCAGTGGTCACAGACTCTAGAGCTGTTTATTTATTTAGTTTATTTGTATGACTGCCCATCTACCAAGGCACTCGGGGCAGCAAACCAAGAGAAAAGCAGAACCAAAGACACAATACATTACAAAAAAACCCCCAAACCCCAAGTTGAGGCTCCTAAAATATTTCAGTAACAACATAACAGGTACATATCAAAACTCCATTAATGCCCTGGTCCTTCTGCCTGGGGGAAGAGTCAGGGCTTCTGGAAGGCCAGCAGGGTTGGGGTGGTCCATATCTCAGGGCAGGCTGTTTGATAAGAGAGGCGCTGTGATGGAGGAGGCACACTTCCTAAGACCCACCAAGTGACACTGCTTCACTGATGGGACCCTACAGGGAGGTGTTGGGGAGAGGCAGTCCCAGAAGTGCCCTTCAGATTCCATCTGTTTCCAAGTAGGAATTTGTGACACTCTTCCAATTTACCTCTTGCCTTCTGTGTCTTTCTCAGGATCTGGCTCCTTACTTGCCTAGTGTCACACCTGGATTGAAAACTTCTCTTCTGGACCCCGTGCCTGAGGTCTGTCTTCCTTGAGCTTCTTTGTAGACAGTCTGTTTCTTCTCTTTATCCAGTTGCCATAGCTCTTCTTTTGAATCTCAGGTGCGCACGGTATCTGCAAAGGCACTGGGAGCCATGGTGAAAGGCATGGGCGAATCTTGCTTTGAAGACTTACTGCCGTGGTTGATGGAAACCTTGACCTACGAGCAAAGCTCGGTAGATCGGTCAGGTGCTGCACAAGGTAAGAGAGGCAGATTTTTAGATTTCATTTGTGTGATTCTTCTGGAGGGTGGCTCAGCATGTAGCTTCATATGCAAAAGCATTAAGGTCCTTACTTTGCTCATGAATATCTTGGATGTTGGGGAGGTCATGGTTCTGCTTTTTTCATTAAATGCTTGCAAGATTGTGAGCATAGGTAAGAGAAAGTTGCTATGTGCTAACTGGGTTTGAATCATCATGCCAAAGAATGGATAGTTTAATCATCGTTTATTGAATCCACCATAATTGATTTGACTTCACACCATGTATTATTTTTTTATTTTATTTATTTATACATCAAATCTGTCACCATCCATCTCGTTGAAAAGCGACTCTGGGCGGCTTACAAAGGAGATAAAATCAATTAAAATACAATAGAAAAACAATCTTAAAAATAATAAATAAATTCCAAGAAAGATGGAATTGGCAAATAACTCAGGAGTGACATCAGGGCGCCAGCCGCCCCCAGGATTGATTGTGCCATTATTATATACTATGCCAGACCCCAAGCGTTTTAGTTGTCACTCTGTTTGTTGTTTCTCTTCTAGGTTTGGCTGAGGTTATGGCCGGTTTGGGAGTAGAGAAGCTGGAGAAACTGATGCCGGAAATTGTGGCTACAGCAAGCAAAGTGGACATTGCTCCCCACGTTCGGGATGGTTACATTATGATGTTCAATTACCTGCCTATTACCTTTGGTGAAAAGTTTACCCCTTACGTTGGGCCTATCATACCTTGCATCCTTAAGGTAAGACCTTGGAGCTGATCTTTAATCCTTTCCAAGTGAGGAAGGAAGGGCTGGGTTTACCCCCACAAAAACAGATCAACCTGAGATTGGGAATGGCTGGAGGTAGTTTCCCTAAAATAATCTAACTGGTTTATGTCAAAAGGGATTTCACCAATTATATGCTGTTCTAGCTGCCACCCTGGAGCAGAAAGAAATTTGTAGCTTACAGGTGATTTCTGTCCCCCTCAGGCATTGGCAGACGAGAATGAATTTGTGCGGGACACAGCTCTCCGGGCAGGACAGAGGATTATAAGCATGTATGCAGAGACTGCCATTGCATTGCTCCTGCCTCAGCTGGAACAAGGTCTCTTTGATGACCTTTGGAGAATCAGGTACGACCCAGCTCTCCACTCATCTGTCTTGTCAGGTGAATGGTTCTTGGTTCAACATCTCCTTTGACTGCTTGCCGATTGCATAAGGAGAAGCAGCAAAACTTTTCTACCAACAATTGAGTGATAAGGGCAAGCACAGATCTCAAAGAAGAATAGGCCACACTAGTTGAATAGTCAAAATGGAACATCTGTCCTACGTGCATTGTACCTCCATGTAAGGGTTGTTGAGGGCTAACAAGAGAAGGTATTTCGTTCCCTAAGTACTTAGCCATCATCACTGGAAAACCGGGATCATGAAGCTTCATTCAGCCAGCAAGGCTGTCCTTAGGATCATGGTATCAAAGGCATCAGTGACACTCTGCTATGGCCCTTCCTTGCAACCGCAAACAAATTTTGACCGGCTGTTGTGCCAACTGAAAGAAACTTCTTCACGATGTTGGAAGGTATTCATTAAACCTAAAGTCATTCATTAAAGTTGGAGAGATTGCGGATTGATAAAACACAGAGGGCTGGACTAGTTAAGACCTTGAGCTGCCCAGGGCTTGTCTTAACATTTTTACCTTTGTAAGGTAGCAAATCATCTCTTTTTCTGGAATTGCGATATGCAACTGAATCCTTAGAACATTGTTGGTCTTCAAAAGTTAAACCTGAAGTTATTTAATTCGTTTACTAGACCAGTGTTTCTCAACCTTGACAACTTTAAGATGGGTAGACTTCGACCCCCAGAATCCCCCAGCCAGCAAGGCTGGCTGGGGGATTCTGGGAGTCAAAGTCCATCCATCTTAAAGTTGCCAAGGTTGTGAAACACTGTACAAGACTGATGTGCTGCTCCAGTAAACTCTGTGGGTGATTTGGAGGCTAGAAACAATCCACAAGGACTCCTCAATTGCTTCTTAAAATCTCCCCTCAACCCAGGCACCCCACACCTCTGCCCTTCTCTTATTGTACTGATGGCTTTTCCAAAATGGTGAACAAGAATAAGATCCTTCCTATGCAGATACCGGTCTGAGATGAGCGCTGATTTGCTGCTGAGATCTGCAACTCGAAAAGAGACCACGATCTGCTTAGCTCGGTGTAAATCTGTGGTTTTGTGTTTTGAAACAGGTATAGCTCAGTTCAGCTGCTGGGAGATCTCCTTTTCCATATTTCAGGAGTTTCTGGAAAAATGACAACCGAGACAGCCTCAGAGGATGATAACTTTGGAACAGCCCAGTCGAACAAAGTAAGCTAAAGGGTCTGCTGAAGTGGGCGGCTATCATAAATGTAATGAAATAAATAAATGCTTTCTCCTTCTGTCTGTTTTTCCTGGTGAGCAGCCTAGCTAGCAAATCATGAGGACCAGGATTGGAGGTCTAATCTGCAGTTTATCATCTTAAACTAGAAAGGATCCTTTGAATGAGAAGAGATGATTTCTCTGGAGAAGCCAACATTCTTCCTCTCGATTCCTCTGTTTGCTTTGAGTCTTGCGATGGACCTTCCTAAGAAGGATATTAGATTATAAGATTGTAAAAATATTCATTTGCCACATTCGTTGTCCGTGTCTTTTACTTGAGCTTTCTGTGCTCGTCTGAATGATTCTGATAAACGAATGGAATTAAAACACTTCTAAATCTCCAATGGATTTCTTATCTAGTTGGCCTTTTAGAAACAAAAGGATGCTTGCTCTTGGTGGGAAAACAAGAATAGCTTTTCCTTTCCTTCCTAATTTCTGTGTTTTTTAATGTATTTCCAGGCAATCATCAACGCGCTCGGCGTGGAGCGACGGAACAGAGTACTGGCTGGGCTTTACATGGGCCGCTCGGATACCCAGCTAGCTGTTCGGCAGGCGTCCTTGCATGTTTGGAAAATTGTGGTTTCCAACACTCCTCGCACGCTCCGCGAGATTTTGCCAACCCTTTTTGGCCTCCTGTTGGGATTCTTGGCCAGTACTTGTGCAGACAAGAGAACAGTTAAGTGCTTGGGCCAGCCAGCCTATTCCTGCTAGAGGTTTGAAATGCTCTTTCATCTGCAAATGGCATTGAATGCCTTTGTTTCTGGTTGCTTTGGACTGCCTGAAGTCTCTTCATGTAAGATTGTACTTGCTCAAGGGTTGAGTTTGCACCACAGGCTAAACCGAGCTTAGATGAGGTTGGCTAGCCTGTGTTTTGGGGTATTATGGAAACCCAGCCATTGATGTAGCATGTTGGGAGAACTAGGGCTATGCTAAGTTGTATTTTTTTTTTTTAATGGGTGGTATAGCACGTTCAGTGAACACAGGAACTGTGCTTTATGAACTTGGATTTGAATCCAACTGTTATTCTGTAAGGCCAGCCTAATGTGTACCCTTCCCCTTCCCCTTCCCCTTCCCCTTCCCCTTCCCTTTCCCCTTCCCTGGGTTTTGCTTATAAAGCTATGATCATGAATAAGTTCCTTTTGGGTAAAAAGGCAATATAGAACGAGATGATGATGATGTTCGTGGTGGCAAATCACCATTCAAAATGTCATGGTGGACTCCGTTCAGAGATTGACTCACCTATATCTTTTGGGAGCAGATCGCAGCACGGACTCTGGGGGATCTTGTCCGAAAGCTGGGGGAGAAGATTCTTCCAGAGATCATCCCCATTTTGGAAGAGGGCCTCAGGTCTGAAAAAAGTGACAAGAGACAGGGTGTTTGTATTGGTCTAAGTGAAATCATGAAGTCCACCAGCCGGGATGCAGTAAGTGGATTTTTCTGCTAATAATTCTAGAAGCTGTTAAAGATTTGTGTGTGTGTGTATGTGCACGCGCGCACTGTGATGGAGTCTTAATCTCTGGTGGCTGGAAATGATCCATTGAATCCCTTCTGTTATTTTAAGTGAAATAATATTCTGTTATTTTAAGTGAAAGAATTTAAACCCCTCTCTGCCCCCCATCGTTTGTTTTTGCAAGCTGTAAGCACAACTCTTCTTTGCATTGGCTCTGAAGAAATTTCCTGTAGTTATCTTTGCTTCTCGTTTCAGGTGCTGTGTTTCTCTGAGTCTCTTGTTCCCACCGTGAGGAAGGCACTGTGTGACCCTCTGGAAGAGGTCCGAGAAGCAGCAGCCAAAACATTTGAACAGCTGCACTCGACAATTGGATACCAGGCCCTTGAAGACATCCTGCCTTTCCTGCTAAAGCAGCTGGTAGGAATGTTGAAATATTGCCACATCACACAGGCTATCTCTGAACATCCTGTGCTGAATAGAAACTTGGCACAACTAACCTCTGCCTATCTGATGATTGGCTTGAAGGGGCATCTGTTAGACAAGATGTTGGCCTTTGATTGGGGTAAGGGACCTACAGTCTTTCAAAGTCTGGCTCTTCAAGCTGGTAGGACTGAGTTGGGAACCCAGCAATTTCTAGCGAGCCTTGGGTTTCCTGGCATGTACTGTTGTCAACCTTGCAAGCTCGTTCTTGCCTTCTGATGACTATTGTGGGAGAATTCTAAGACACCCCGTGGGGCAAACAACAATCTTTGGCCAGGTCACTTTGATTCCATGCTGTGAAGCTTTAGCTTCTTGCTGTGTATTTGTATAGATCAGGTGACCTCAGGATGGCTTCATTCAGCACCCTGATTGTGTAGATCAATAAGAGAGCACGTGGTTCACAAAGAACATCTGAGCTTTCATCACTGGTTGGCTAGAAAAGACTTTTATCTGAAACTGGGAGAGTTGCTTTGCTAGGGCTACCAGATGTGGGTGTCAGAAATCCAGATGACGACTATCTGGTGGCAAAGAGACATTAACTCTTTCCATATCTGTTCTTCTCTTCTTCTAGGAATGTGAAGAAACATCAGAGTTTGCCCTGGATGGTCTAAAGCAAGTTATGGCTGTGAAGAGTCGAGTTGTGTTGCCATATTTGGTGCCAAAGGTACATTTGCATCTCTTCTTTCAGTTCTGAAAGATGCTCACTTATTGTTCTGCTTCTCTGCTCTGTTCTCGGGGACATAAATTGGGGGACCTTATGCAGATCAGATATTTTGAGGTGCACATCTGAGATGAGTAGCTCCAAAAACATTGGAAGTAAATTAGAAAGCTTCTAAAAACTGTGAATCTGCCCGAAAGTTGGGTTTGGCTGTTGAATTCTGTGGAATTTATATATATTGTATTTCTGCTCCAGTTTTCTTTGAAGGAATTCTTATGGCATATATAGGCTCTGTTTCCCTGTCACCATTTTAACTTTTCAAGAAAAATTAAGCTGAGAGTTAGCAACTGGCTCCAAATCTAATGCCAGTGTTTTGAGCCACCTTTCTCCAACTTAGTGCTCCCCAGCTGCGTTAAATCCCAGTTAGAATCATCCCCAGCCAGCAAAGACATGCTGGCTAGAAGTGATGGTAGTTGTAGTCCAACACTGTGGAGGGCACAGAATCAGGACAGCTACATTAAGCACTGCGTTTAAGAAGTCTCTCTGCCTCTTTTTCTGGGGTTGGGCAGGAGTAATAGAAATAGTGGATTGCATGGAAACTGACATATTGGTCTTCTTTCTTTCTGCAGAATTAAATATGAATCTCTTTTCTTGTTTCCATTAGCTTATTTCTCCTCCTGTCAATACCAGAGTCCTGGCCTTCCTGTCATCTGTAGCTGGTGATGCTCTTACCCGGCACTTGGGTGTAATTCTGCCTGCCATGATGTCAGCCCTCAAGGAGAAGCTTGGGACAAATGATGAGCAGCAGGTAAGTTTGTTCTGATGTGAAGGTCTTGTTCCAGGAGACTTGGTTTAGTCCCCCTCTCCACAAGTCGCCCCAGCATCATTTCCTGTCAAAAGTCAGAGGTGACATTTCACCTTCTTCTCCTCCTACATTCCCACCCATCCCAGCAAGCCCATCTTGTTTTTTGGCCCTACTCGTGTCATCTCCACAAACAAGCCATGCTGGCCTTCAGAATGTCCTTGTGTGTCCTTCCTTCAGCCTTTCCTGCAACCTCAGCTTGACACCTGAGTCATTCTCCTGGGCCAACCAGTGTGGCTTGATTGTAATCAAGGAGGCCATCCATGGCTATGTGGTGATCTCCAAAGGGACTTTTGCTCAATTCTTATCAGGTAGAACAAAGATAGTTAAGTTCATCAGGCTGGGATCATCATCTCATCCCATGTTCACCATTCAGCATCAACAGCTCAGAGTAGAGCTCTATTTCAGGACTTGGAGGAAGAGGCTAGCTATTCCAGGTACTGTTTCAAGAGCAGTTCTCTGTCTTGATTCCTAGATGCCTCACCTCTTGAGAAATGGGGATTTGGTCTGGGAGCAAAGATCTGAATGGCCATGGGACATTCTAGCTGTTTCTCATTTCCCAGCAAGGGAAGAAGTGGAGTGAGGTCTCATTTTTGATTAAGCCAGTCTTGTTTTCCAAGCAGAGCGTTTGTGAAGCAGCTCCACACAGATTAAACCAACAGATAAATTTTGAGTAGCAAGGAAGAGATCACCTCTCATTTCCTGCTGGGAACTTCCAGAACTTCCAACTGAAAAGTGGTGTAGGGATAGGAAAGGATGATTGGTAAAGAAAGGAGGTAGAAGGGGCAGTTGCCTTCTTCAGTAGAAGTTTTAAAGTTGTGTTTTGGTCTTGAGTTATCCATCGACCAGTGTAGACGAATTCCACCATTAAGAGAACATGCTAAATGGAAAGAAAAACTATTTGCTTGATTTTAAGCGGCTTATGTAAGATCTGAAAGTTTGATGAAGGGGGAGAGTCTTGGAAAAGTTTCTGTCACAACCACAAATGGTCGGAATCCTGTGGTGTCTTTCACAGGAGATGCTCAACTGCCAGGCAGTTATTCTGTCGGTAGAAGACGAGGCCGGTCAGAGGATGATCATTGAGGATCTCTTGGACACGACTCGCAGTGCCGAAGTAGGAATGCGTCAGGCTGCGGCTGTCATTCTCAACATCTACTGTTCCAAGACAAAGGCAGACTACACAGCCCATCTGCGCAACCTGGTCTCGGGCCTGATCCGCCTCTTTAATGACACCAATTCCGTGGTTCTGAATGAAAGCTGGGATGCTCTCAATGCCATCAGCAAGGTAGGGGTTGGAAGTGGTCTTGGAGAAGAGAAGAGGAGCTGAGTGTCAGGCCCAGCCCAAGAACAATGATGAAACAGTCCAGTCCAATACATTTCCTTTATTGCTTTCACCTTATAGACAGAATCTTGCCAGACTAAATCTATACTAGAGCAACTAGTGGATATATCCTGTGAGATTCTAGGGAGTGGCTATCCTGAACCTTTTTTGCTTCCCACGTTCCCCCTGCAGACTATGCTGCCTCTTGCCCCCGATAGCCTTGATCTCCCACATCACTCTCCTCCTCGTAGATTCATTCCATCACTCTGAGCTTTGGAAAACGGACAGTATGGAAGCCAGGGAGATGGCATTTGGGCTGTTAATTGCTCCTGCTCTGGCTTGTTTGGGACTAGGACACCCATCATCCCAGATACCCGAGTTTGTGAGTGTGAAAGCTAAGGCATATCTGGAGATGCCAGTTTTTGAAGAGGTGGATAAGGATAATCAATGAAAAATGTGCAGGAGAATGTTTCAGTTTGTTTAAACCTTGAAGCACCAATTGGTTTATTGATTGGTACCGATAAATACATTAGTTTATTGACTGGTTTATTGATCGGTACCGAGGCAAAGACAAACATGAAGAAGGGAGGAGTTACAGTCCCTCTTTATAGGCTTTGTGTGAATTACGATATACATTTAATTTCATTGATTCGGTTACAACCGCTGCATGTTAATGTGTGCGATAATCAAGTGAGATGGGTGAGGTTGTGGGTCAGAATACCGAGGCACCCTGGAGTTGAAACAAAGAGCTGGAGAAATAATATCTGAAGCTACTGCATTCTTTAACCCAGGGGTTCTTAATCTGTGGGTAGATTTGGGGGTCAATGAACTTGAGGGGAACAAAAATTACAACTTTATTTTCACTAGCCTCCAGTTGAATTTAGGTTTTTATTCAGGAATGACTGTAGGCGGCAAAGTAACTTATGGCCTCTTGATCATAGAAATGTTTGTTAACGTCAGTAACTCTCACTATCTAAAATTATTTGAGTTTTTCAAAATATTTTGGGAACTGTATTTGAGCAAAATGGTTTTCCTTTGTAATATAGTCTCTGTGTTTTATCTTAGGTATTTAAAGACATTCTTCCA